AACAGAACATGCTACAAGCTCCCAAAGACAACGTGAGGAAGGAGAGGGAAGAAAGGAGCAGGGAATGAAGGGCTTGGAGTGTGTGGCCACAAGCCAGGGAATATGGCAGCCACCAGAAGAGGGAAAAGGCAAGGGATGGCTTCTCTCCTAGTACTTCTGCGGACACTTGATTTCCTCCCAGTGATACTGACCAGATTTTTGGCCTCCAGAAGTGGAGGAAAATAAATCTCCATTGTTATAAGCTACCCAGTTGGTGGTAATTTGTTAGAGCAGCCATAGGAATCCAATACAGGAGGTTGCCCCCGACGCAGAGCACACCCAGGCCATTCTGGAGCAAGTCAAAGACTCCAGGTGAGATTTCTCTAAAGACAAATTTGGTGGGACACTTAATGTGTTTATTTGTCCTAAGTGGAGAATTAGACAACTGGAGATGCTTTGGGCATTGAATTAGATGTAGGTATAAAGACCAAACCAAGCTAGTTTTTTATAATTTTTTTTTAAAAGTTTACTTAGTTTTGAGAGATACAAGAGATACAGAGTTAACTCTTAAGGTAAGAGGTAAGAGAGATACAGAGAGCAGGGAAGGAGCAGAGAGAAAGGGAGAGAGAGAAAATCCCTGTCAGCACAGAGCCTGATGCCGGGCTCAAACTCACAAAACCACCAGATCATGACCTGAGCCAAAACCAAGAGCTGGACTCTTAACCGACTGATCCACCCAAGTGCCATACCAAGCTAGTGTTTTAAAAAACAGTATTTAATCCTAGAGAAAAACAGAATTCTTTAGGTAAAGGAAAAAAGAGAAACATTGCAAACTACGTGGCTAACCTATACATAACATTTACAAAGTCCTAATAAATTATTCAGTTACTCTTTTAGGAAACAAGAGAAAGTAGAGCATTCTTTTAATTTATTCATTTATTTTATAAGCAAACTAATGAGGGAAAGGACAAAAACTTTTGGTTCACTTATGTATTTATGAATAGAAAAAATTTATAAAGCAAATACACTCATTAAAGAACTTAAGTACCAATTACAACATTACAGATAACCCCTTGTTTTATTTCACATGAAGACCTTAGAGACTCAATTCATTTCAAGAGACCTAAGTATGAGTACTCCAACTAAATATTGCACAAATTAGAAGCATCTTGGATTTTTATGTATATTTCAATACATAAATTTGTATGCATGCTTTACACAAACAGTATATTTCAAGAATGAGAAAATGTAAACAAAAAGTATGACCAGCACCAGGATTGAAATTTTCTGAGTTTAATATTAGTCTGACGTAGCGTTAGTAACAATACTGCATGGAAACATGTAATGGTACAGTCTGAATCATGATTTGTTAAATATTCTACCACACTCTCCCAGAATACTTAGGCTGGTCATGAAGTTAACTGTGTAAGTACATAAGCATAATCAGGTATGGCCAGTCTCCTATATTAATTGCTGTTTAGCAATACACAAACTGCATCAAGGACTTATGTGTACAGGTAGACATTCAGTTATACCAATAAAACAGCATGTCCTAAAAATATGGGCACATTTGAAAACATTTTAAGACAATTCTGTTAACCATAATTGTCCCACAGTATGACTGAGTAATAAGAAGAACCTACTTTAAAAGCAAAAATTTAATCAGCATAGTGCATGATTGATTCAACATAGTTCCCGGAATGGACCAGTCACTTGATTGCAGACTCCTTCATACCAACCATCGTCATTCTTCTTTATTACATAAATGACTGTACCCTCCATAAATGATAGTTCATCATCCTTGTCTTTCATACAATCATATATTGCCACAACTTTCTCAACATCATTCTTGAGGGCCAAAGGAGGATCCCCATTTGCATGTGGATTACACTGAACTACTGCAGACTCTTCATCTTCATAATCCACTGGGGTGGTGGTTGAGGCAGAGTCATCAAACATGGGAATGTCATCTGGGGGAGGTGGACATCGTGGAGTTGGACTATCAGCAATGTTTTCCTGCACCCTGACCGTGAAGCCTATGAGAGGTTATCTGTGGAGTCAACTGAGGCATAGGGAGAGAGGTTGGAGCAATAGAAACTGAATTCTGAGAATAAAGTGGACCTCCATTAACATGAGGCTGAGCAGAAAATTGAGCAGTCACAGAGGGAGTTGTTTATATCCACCAGAAGACGTCAACGAAGTGGTAGAGTTGAGAAATCTCCCAGTTACTGTGCCATACTGGGAACCAGGACCTGAGCCCAAGGCTGCTGGTCCAATAGTGGGTGGTGAAGTGTAGGCATGGCAATGGGGATGTCAATACTGCTGCTTCCACTCTTTTCTCGATTTCCACTCCCTCCACTACTTCCACTGTGTCTCCTTGGTGTCTGGTTTAAAGATGTCCTGCCTGGACTATGCTGACTTCTGAGCCTAGCAGGACTTGTCATGCAGTCATTAGGAACTGTTGGGGTTTTAACAGGTACCAGAGTTTTGTGAGGAGTATTCTGTCCCAGTGTTTCCCAGTCTGACATGGAAGAGCTTGGAGGTTTCTGAGTAGGAGGATTTGTTCTGGTCAGTGTATGCCAGTTCTTGCAGGCTGGTTATTTCCATGCTTGACACCATGGCCCATCCAGAACTGTACGGTCAATAGGTCTCTGAATATACCTTACAGGGAGCTCCATCTTTGCAAGTGCTATTATTTGGGGGAGTTCTTGATATATTCTTATTTGTTGTCAAAGTGCCACTCTCTCTTCCAGACACTTTCTCTTTATGAATGTCCACAGTCTGTGAGATATGATTGATGGAAACCTCCATTCTCCGAAGCTGAGAGGCTTGGATAACTAGCAACTGGAGTCCATTGTTGGCCAGTGCATTGATTCAATAATAACACCAGCAACACTAGCTAGGGATTGGGCTGTGTAAGCTTTGGGCTCTTCTAAAGTTTTGTCTTATCTCTAGCCTGTGTATAGTTGTTTTCACAGTAGTTTGTCACCCGGGTCAGATTCTGGTAACTCTCTATCAGCACCCTCTTGCCAGAAAGGGTCTCCTCCCCTAGGAACATCTGCCATTTTCCACCCCACTGCATGGCTTCCTCTCATGTTAGAGACAGAAGCACCAAGGTCTGAGGTGACATGCACCTCACAGCTCAGATACAAACCACCTACCGCCCTCCAGGATGGTATTATGGGATCGCACCCCTCCTCTTCCTCCTCACTCTCTCCACCCCTAGAAGTGGAGCATTTTTGTGGTAATGACTGCTCCAAATTTTCATCCTCCAAAATGGGAAGTTAATAGAAATGCCCAAAGCAACACCAGGTTAGGAATATATGCATCCTACTTGGAGATGTGGAAATAAAAAATAATAATAATAATAATAATAAGTTTCAAAGGTTGAAAGCAGTGGCTTGTAGGGAAGAGTAAATGTAGGAAAAAGTAGGAAAGCAAATACAGCTGCTTTTCTTAGGAGGCTTTGTAGAAAAAAGTTTTGCCTATGTATATGAACGTATAATTTTGGTAAAAATGAAAATGAAAAATCAAACACGGGAAAAATGACAGAGACAAAAGAGTTGGTTATATTCTAGGACTCTTAAAAGACAAAATAAATGAAAATTCTAAAACAAGTTCCATAGCATTGTGCAAATGGGCATATGTGGCTGAGCATAACATTTTCAGTGACCGTATCATGTAAGGATTCAAAAGGCACTATACTTCAAACACCTTCAAAGTGCTCTGCAAAACTTGTACTTGAAAACATATGGGTGGTGTGCAAAATGTGGCAAATGAGACCTACACTAAATCTATAGTGGAAAAGAGTAAGCAGGTCCTGTTAGTCATCTATTGACTTCTCTTCTTTTGATGATTCTGGATTCTTTTCCTTTCTTCTCAACTCCCTTTAACATACTCATTCCAGTGCTTTCTATGTCAACACTAGTAACCATTAAAAAGACCCAGTCTGGGTAAATTAACTGAGTCTGTGTAATACTTTGGTTTTCTAGAGAGTATGCTTCTGGGAGCACTTTTGGTGCCAAGAACTGTATCAGTGTCCAGTTAGGAAAAGAGAAAACTCTGTATTTCAAACAAAGTAGATTTATTACTGAAAACTGGCCGCACAATTGTTGAAAAGCTGAAATATCACAAAAGGCATGTTGAGGCCACAGAGAACATTAACATTCAGCCACTAGCGGGCTGGGAGAACAAAAAGAAAGGTTGTCAGCACTAAAGTTTTTTAGTGAGTTTAATGAGTAGTTAATACTCACTGAAGGTTGTCCTATTTGTCGGGCTCCCTAAGAAGTGCTTTAAAAGGATTATCTCAGTTTTCCTCAAACAACTTCTCCAGGGGGTACTAACAGTCATCCTACTTTTTTTTACAGGTAAGAAAACTAAGGCCAAAGACAGATAAATAATAAATCCAAGTGCACACAGCTAGTAAGGATAGGGTCTGCCATGCTATAACCACTGCTCCAAACTCCCTGTTATGACAGGTAGAGGTGAGCATCTGTGCTGTGACTCACTGCTGTCCAACTTTCCTTCTATGAAAAGAGTGCTAAATCAAACCTGTTCCTCTGGCTCAGAGCACTCTCTGTCCAACACCATGTGTGCTGCTTCCTGACTCCTCTTTTCAAATTGCAACATACGGACTAGAGGTTGGAGATCACCTCACCCAAAGGGAAAAAAACTCTGAACACCCTATGTGGGATGGAAAGAAAAGAAATATGGAATCTAGCGGAAAAAAGAGAGTGAGATTAAAATGTAGGGGTAGGGACACAGTGAATCTAAGGAAACCAATATATTAACTGAAATTGGCATAGTGCAAACAAAATCAAAGGTTTGGATGCTGGCTCAGTGTGCTTTTCTTTCTGATTTGACTGGGCTTGAGAAAAAGCTGATAGGTGTGGCTTAAAGGCCCCAGATCACATGTGTGGAATGGGTGGATACTCAAGCAAACAAAATATCTGTATAATATATCAGCTTTATCTACTCAAAACAGAAAAAAGCCTGTAAGAATTCACCAGTCTCCTGGTCTGCAGAGAAAACGGAACCATGAGCACAGCAGGAAAAGTAAGCAAAAAATTTGTTTTCTACTTTTGGAAATATATTCTTACTATATAATTCACAAAGATATAGTATTAATGAATAATTTAAAATTCATATATAAATTAGAAACAATGTATACTGAAATACAATATAGATTGTGTGCTTCAATATGCAATGTATACTAAACTACAATTAAAAATAGGCTATTCCTAAATATCTTTATCAAGAATGTATAGCATCTGTACCTAATAAAGTCTTTACTTCCTGTATTAAATACATTTGCAGTAGTTATAGCCAATCATAAATAGATTTGTAAATCTAAAATTCTATGTTTTTGGCAATGAGAAAGAATGAAATCTGGCCATTTGTAGCAACATGGATGGACCTTGAGGGTGTTATGCTGAGTGAAGTAAGTCAGGCAGAGGACAGATACCATATGTTGGCACATAGAGGTGGATTAGGAGGAACTCAACATGGGTTGAGAAGGGGGAGTGGAAAGGAGAACCATGGGGGAGAAGAAGGGGAAAAACAGTTGGCGAGAGGGAGGGAGGCAAACCATGAGAGACTCTTGAATGCTGAGAACAAACTGAGGGCTGATGGGGGTGGGGGAGAGGGGAAGGGGGGTGATGGGCATGGAGGAGGGCACTTGTTGGGATGAGCACTGGGTGTTGTATGGAAACCAACTTGACAATAAGCTATTTAAGAAAAAAATAAAATTCTATGTTTTTAATCAAGGAGTTTTCTTTATATTAAAAAAAAACTATAATTTAAATATGTTGTTTTGGTAATCATATTCGTTTTAGGAACACAGGAAAGTTAGATCTCACAAAAGTTTTATGAGAGGAATTTGATTCAGAGGACTTTCAAATATATTTTGAACCTTACTATGAAACCTCTTACAAAAGGCACACTGATTTCAAAACTTTAAAACCATCAAGGCTATAAGTAAGTCAACATCAGCATACAAATTCTGAATTACAAAGGCCCCACTGTGCATAATCCAAGAAATTTCCACAGAGATCCAATGGAACAGTATCTTCTCCACACAAAAGTCAACATGGTTTTACAAAATAAAAGTAAAAATAACAGTGATAACAGTTTGAATCACTTATTAGCACTGAGAACAGAGATAATCAGTTCTAAGTTTTTCATGGATTCATGCTCATTTGTTCAATGTGCTTACTGGTGCACAGAAACACATGTGGTCATTCAATATAAGCAATTCATGTTGTATAACTTAATTACAAAAGCCTATGCAACTGTTTCTAGGACATGTGTTACATTGGAGTGGATCACACAATATACTATCTTGCTATGATAACTTAAAGATTCTGAGGTTTCTATACACATCATGTGACAACATTCCTATATCAATAAGATTGGTTGGAAATCACACGGGTCACCAAATGTCAGTTTTCTTATTCCAAATCTCTTTATTTTTGTTCATTACTGGTTAGCATTTACAATGGCAAGTTACATTTCAAATGAAGAAAAGTTAGGAAAGAACAATTAAATATGCCAAAACTCAGGTTAAAAGGAGTTCGGAGAGCAAATATGCAAACCAAATGTATTAATGAAAACAAATCCTCTGCCTTTGGATGCAGCGTCAATCACTTTTAGCTTTGTAATAACACCATTTATGTTTACCCCTCCTGCATTATATTCTCCTCAAATGCTAAATAGCATAAGGTGGTGTAAGAATTTAATAAATTAATACTGTAATGGACTTGTAACAGTGCCTGGTACATAGAAATAATTCAACAAATGTTAGTCACTGCTGTCATACTGTTGCTGCTATTATTATTTAAGCTCTTTTCACTGCCATGCATTGATCTTAATTCTCTAAACAGTCAGCTTTGTGACTTTGGGAAAATTACTCAATTTCTGAGTCAATTGAGCCTCAATGTTTTCATCTGTAAAATAAGACCAAGAATTCAATAATACTGCCCTGGTACCATCATTGTGAGGTTTAAAGATCAAGTATGTAACTCACCTGGGATAGGACCTTGTAATCAGGACTTATCTACCCCTAGAATATTATTCCCAAGAATTTTTATATCTACTGGGGCACTGACCATGGCAAACACCTTGCAACCTGGGAGGATTTGACATGAAAATGAATTTTCAAAAGGATAAATTCGTGTTTAAAATTTATCATATTTGCAATTACGTCAATTCTTTCTAGAAGAAAACTTCCTTAACTGTGTAAGCTTTGCAACAATGAAGACTGCTTTATATTACAATCCCAGCCACTAAAAATGTTTTCAACTTTTACTTTTCAGAACCTCGGTGGGTGAACTGTGCTAGCTAGAAATTCAAGCACACCATTCTCCCATTTTTAAATATATACACACGGACCTGTATACATAGGTGTGTGTGAGTGTGTGTATACAGCTGTAACCTCTGCAATTTTTGTTGCAAAACTAATCTGGAAGGAATTTCTGTACATAAATAGACTACAAAACAGCACTGCCAGAGCTAACTTTCAAATGAGTGACGCAAGCAAGTAGCACCCACAAGCAGTAGGGAAAAGAGTCAAGGGAAGAGAACAGGCAAGTAGGGAAAGAAAACTCATCCTAGTCAGAGAGGCAAATGTGTAACTGAAATCATAAAGTTAGATTACTTGGGCTTCAGTAGAGAATTGAGCAAGAGGGCAATAGCTTTTATGTGAACAGCACTAAAACTGTTAGCAAAATTAAGTGGATTTAGAACTTCACACACCAGCCAACAGTTGTGGGTAAACAACCGATTTAAGGACCACATTAGAAAACAGCAGGAATAAACAACCCTTGGAAAACAAAAAGCAACATGAAGATGGCCTAAAAGAATATATTCCATTTTATCTCAATGTCTCATTATAGCTGATCCTGTTTCTCTTTCCTTGTGTTATGGCTTTGCCTGTTTTTTAAAAAGGTATTTTTATTCCCCTTGTAAATCAGGGGTCTTTCATTTCTATGGGACACTTGTTAGGTTCCAGACAGGGGGCTACATGTTGCACATAACAAAATGAAAGTCACTATCCTTGACTTTAAGAATGGGGAAAAACTAGTATCACCTTTCTATTCAATTTCCAGGTAATCAAATGCAAAGCAGCTGTGCTGTGGGAGTTGAAGAAACCCTTTTCCATTGAGGAGGTGGAGGTCGCACCTCCTAAGGCCCATGAAGTTCGTATTAAGGTGAAACATTTTTCCACTCCTATTTAATTTTAAGTTCAAAAGATTCTGAAAATGGTAAAAATGGAAATAAGCAAAAATCCATCAAAAGGCACTTTTTATATGGTGATCCAAACACTTATTGTCAAGCAAAGATATAAATACAAGTTGTTAAATTTTTTAAAAGGGACCAGGGTATATACAGTCTAATCCCAATAAAATAAAAAAGAATTTATGTGTTTGTACAAGAAAAAAGTGCAAAGGGATGTACATCAAGATTTCAACATCAACTAGTATCAGATGGTAGAATTTAAGTGACAATTTTCTTAGTGCTAATCTGTAATTTCTACTTCTATAATAAGGATACATTTTTGTATATTAAATAAGTTTATTTCATAAAAAATGTTTTACGTGCTATTCCAAATTGTTTGATGAGGAAAAGAAAAGGGTTCTATTCTTTTCTGAATCCAATCATCCTCCCTTTCCCGTGTAGATGGTGGCCACAGGAATCTGTCGCTCAGATGACCATGCAGTTGGTGGAACGATTATCACGCCTCTCCCTGCGATCTTAGGCCATGAGGCAGCTGGCATTGTGGAAAGTGTTGGAGAAGGAGTGACTACAGTAAAACCAGGTACAGAATTCACACTTAGGGAATTCACAGTTCAGGACTACAATCATCCAGCCTGGAAAGACCTTGCAGAAGGTCATGGACGAGCTGGGACTAGAATATAGGTCTCCTCCTTTCTTCTCTCCTTGCCTGACTCAGACATGTATGCATTCATGCACTCATGTATTCTCTCCTTTAGCAAGTGCCTACTGAGTACCTATTAGATGTCAGGCACCAGGTTAGATCCTGGGGACACATAACGATCAAGAGAGATGCAGTGCCTGCCAAAGTTAGAGTTCATAAACAAATAATTTCCATTTGAGTGTTGCTGAGTCCTATCTTCTGTCAGGTCCAAAGAGAACTACAAATGGGACAAACTAAGAAAACAAAAGTCTATGTCCTGAGTCTCCAAATCACTATATGGAAACTGTTCTGTACTGATTTCACAGGATGGGGGCCAGGAGGCTATAACTGAACCTACATGATCTACTCTGAGGTGGGAAGAGATTCATTCATTGATTTCCTTTTCCAGTATGGCCTCCCTTCTTGAACGTTCAGTGAACAAAACGGACTAGATGGAAGGGAATGAAATAGACCTAGCAGAAGACATCCTGCCATAGACAATACCTGTTATTACCTTTAACCATGGTTAAATGTGACTTGTGACAAAGTACTATTTTATTTTTAATATTTATTTTACCCTAATTTTATATTAATATAGATAAATATTTTTAGGGTTAAAGGGTGAATACATAGAAAATTTTATATGGATAACTATTAATATGCTAGAAATATTTTTTAATCTATGTTGTTTCCAATATTTGCATTTCCTCTTTGAGAGTCTTCAGGCACATAGAAACCCAAACCAATAACAACGCTGGCAGGTAATGACCAATGACATAGTGGTGAACCCTATTTCTTGGCGATTTCAAAGACACATACCTCTAATACATATGCATAAGCTTCTGGTTCTTGTATTAATTCCTGGGTAGAAATTTAAGAAGACTTTGTTTTATACCCTCCAGGTGACAAAGTCATTCCACTCTTTACTCCCCAGTGTGGAAAATGCAATGTTTGTAAACACCCAGAAGGCAATTTCTGCTTGAAAAGCGAGTAAGTTTCTGATACTATCCTTACACAGGCAATGGATTTGCACATCAGTTATGCTACTCTCTCATGCTCTGTGTGTCTCTGTGTTACACTGGCCAGTCTGAACATGCCCCGGGGAACCATGCAGGATGGTACCATCAGATTCACCTGCAGAGGGAAGCCCATTTACCATTTCCTTGGCATCAGCACCTTCTCCCAGTACACAGTGGCGAATGAGATGGCAGTGGCCAAGATCGATGAAGCCTCACCACTGGAGAAAGTCTGTCTCATTGGCTGTGGATTTTCTACTGGTTATGGGTCTGCAGTCAAAGTTGCCAAGGTAGGACTGACAATGGTTGATAAAACCAGTTACACTCAGACTATCAAAAACCAAGAGGAGAGCAATTTCTCATAGGAATCAGAGATCATTCTTTATAGATTAGCTGGAAGCTTTTCCTCCTGCTACCACAATAACATTGATAAAATTTAGGGTATCAGTTATGAGTGGAAAAATGCCCTCAGAAGGAATTGAGGAGCATATCCTAGAAAATGTATTTATCACAGATGAAAATGCTATTGATGCCTAGTTAAGAAAGAGTAAAGGTGTAATTTTCAACAATTACTGTACACTTTTCTTTATGTAATTACTAAATTTTAGAGCTGGGAGCTCATTTAGTAATTTATTGTACTGTTAACACCAACATGTATCAGGCATAGTAGGTTCTGCTAGCTTTTGAGGCATCAAAAGTAAATAAGATGAAAGGATCACCTCTGATTAGCATCTAGTCCATGAATCTTCTACTCTCAGAATTGGGATCAACAGTAGACTCCAAAGCCTTATATAATATACCTCAAAACCAAGAGTCACTAACCCACCCATTCTGTGGATCCCTACAAAGGAAGTAATGAAGCTTCAATAATGCATTTGACATTTAATCCAGTTATTAGGGGATTTCACTGCTACATCTCATTTCCTGCACACACATGTATAAACACACAGTTCAGAGGTGGTATATTTTAAAGAGAAATTCTTTAAACAGAAATTCCTCTTCCCAAAAAGCTGGAAATCTGGCAGTATTCCTTCATTTTATGAGATGGAAACCCAGAGACATAAAGCTATTTGCTCAAGATCTCATAGCTGGTCAGTATGAGAGCTGTGACTAGTCTATCTCTCAAAACTCCTGCTGAATCTTAAACCATGATATATAATTACCTTCACCTTTAGATCATAATAACTGTTCTCAAATTTTTCTAAGGTAAAAAGTGGTGTTGCATCCCAGAGTATGGTTACTTGGGACAGGAGAAATATTAACAGCCACACTGAAGGCTGATTATAACAGACTGGGTTTACTAAACAGTCCCTAGACAATTTAAACAGTTGAAAGCACATGTTTTCTAAATTTTTGAGGCTTTAGCACTAAGTCCCTTATGCGATTTCATCATCTGTTTAAGCAGATGGTCTAGCTGAGGCCTACACACAGAGAAGAAGCTGAGAGCACTCATAATTGTTTTCAGCCGTTAATAAAATATAGACCAACTTTTCATTGAACAGTGTTTATTAGTATATTTTTTAAAGCAGGGATAAAGACCCACTAAGATCATAGTGGACTCAAGCTATATTATCTTAGTTATCTATTAAATTTCCCCTGTTCTTAGGCTTTTCTCTAAGTTAAGGCTAACTGTTACATGTTTCACAGCTAACTACTGCTCTCATGACACTCTCATGATTCTCAAAGTTAATGAAACAAGTACTTGATTACTGAGGGTTTGATTGAATTATTTTTTCAGTCTCCCTGAATAATCTTTCCTACTTATTATTTCATCTCCCAAAACTTGCATTTCTGTGTGTGATATACTAAAACTGGCTGTTGATGGATTTGAGCTACTAGATTTGATTTAAGATGGGAGTCACTGGCATTTAGGGTACAAAGATTGTCCAATCCACTGGCTCCCAGCCTGGGTTTCCAACTGGAGTCACCTGGGGATTGGGTTCCACCTGCAGAGATTCTGATGGAATTGGTTATAAGCTGTGACCTAGGCATTGAGATGTTTTAAAGCTCCCCAGGTGAGTCTTATGTCCAGCAAAGTTTGAGAACCACTCATCTAATTCAACCACCTCAATTTAAACATGAAGCAACTGAAGCCAAGAGATTTGGCAGGAGGCTGGACGTAAGAGTTTGAATAGCTCCTCATAACAGACAAGGCATGGCACTTTATATAGCTTAGGCATTTTCTAGCAATCTTTTTTTTTTAAATGATTATATATTTTTGAGAGAGAAAGACAGAGTGCCAGCAGGGGAAGGGACAGAGGGAGAGGGAGACACAGAATCCAAAGTAGATTTCCAGGCTCTGAGCTGTCAGCACATAGCCCAGCGTGGGGCTCGAACTCACAAACAGCAAGATGATGACCTGAGCCGAAGTCGAACACTTAACCAACTGAGCCACCCAGGTGCCTCACTGGCAATCATTTAATCTATTTTTGCATTTTCTGAAAACACAGGTCACCCAGGGCTCCACCTGTGTTGTGTTTGGCCTTGGAGGAGTTGGCTTGTCTGTTATCATAGGCTGTAAAACAGCAGGAGCGGCCAGGATTATTGGGGTGGACATCAACAAAGACAAATTTGCAAAAGCCAAAGAGGTGGGTGCCACTGAGTGCATCAGCCCTCAGGACTACAAGAAACCAATCCATGAGGTGCTGAAGGAGATGAGTGGTGGCGGTGTGGATTTTTCATTTGAAGTCATTGGGCGGCTTGACACCATGGTATGTAACATGAAATGCCTTGAGATATCTGCTTCCACATTCCAGAGTATACTTTTATGCAGTAGAATATAAATATTACATATAAATAATATTTTAAAAACTATGAATGGTGATTTTCCACATCCTGCTGGTTATCTGGGTTATTCAATTCATTATTATGAGAAATCTTTAGTCAGATAAGCTCAGCAAATCTGTCTCAAGTAATACTTCTCCTTTAGAGAGGAAAGAGTTTTTTTTAATTAAGCCACTATGACTTTACTTTGTTAATTTTTAGTAAAAAAAATTCAAACAAATATGGGTAATAGAAATTGTTTTCAAATTGGCGAGTTTGATTTTTCCCTCACATTCATAATGAAATGGTTTAACGGTATTTTATGTTTTAAGAAACTTCCATTTTCTTTCATATATCATACTTTGTCCAGAGGAATAATGGGCAATTTTAGACCAGTATCGTTTTATTAACAGAAAATACAGCATTTTGCCACTTACCACGCTGCCTCATTTTGCCACAACAGACAGCACAGTGCCTGGCACATAGTAAGCACCCAAGAACTATGTGTTGGGCTGAATACCTTAGAAAGTCAACAAATTTTTCCACCAGAAAATTTAAGAGATCTATACTTCATAGCACTGTTTATAAATTACAGGAGATAATGCATGTCGAATACTAAAGCACCACATGTCAGATGGTAAGCTCAGTAAACGTTAGCTAGTATTATTGATATGCAGTGCTGTTTCTGATCTTGCAGTGTTTACATCATCTTTGGAATATACACACATTACTTTCAATGATAAATATCATCAACTGCAAGGAGGAATACATTTCCAGTTATATCCCACCTATCCACAATTCTCTAGAATCCTACTGAAAGAAAAGTCCCCAGAAACCAACAAATCCCCCTTTTGACGCTTTCCAGTAAATCCTAGCAGTAATGATAATAGGGAGAACCACTCTAAGAATAAACTTTTTGTAGCCTTGACTTGAGACAATATATTAACTTCAGATGGCTAAAGTTCCAAGGCTATAGCCTTTCTCCTTAAACCCTTTTTCTGTTGTTTTCCTTCCATTTTCTCCTGTGAAATTAGATTGTTACTTCACTTGAAGATACCAAATATCCAATAGCCACATGCTTTGAGGTTATCTGGTCTTCTAAACATCACGCTCCAAAATCAAAGGGTTAATCATTATATATTGCTGGAGAATCCTCAATTCTCTTACTATGGAATATGTTTAAAAACTTGGCTGGAGGGGGAGGCTTTCTTTTGAAGTCCCAGAAGACCATCAAGTAGACAAAATGACCAGTTTTGATGGTGTAATTGACCTTGTATCTTGTTCACCATTAAAACACCTGGTTCAAGTACCACATTCAAAATAACTACTTAATAGATAAATAGATATGTTTGTGATGATGTTTGCCTCGATTATAAGGAAGAATTAAGCATATACAACAGACTCATTCATCCACTATTTCATTCCAAAAATATCTTTTGAGCATTTCCTAAAACCATGACACTATCCTAGGCACAATGAGGAATGAAAAAGCAAAAGCCATAATCTCTTCCCTGAACACACTCACAATCTAGCTAAATCAATGCTACATGATACCATGCACCATTAGTGTAGACTATCAGAAAATTCACTCTATAAAAGAAAATTCACCCAAATGATGCTAAATATTAATTTTATTCCAGATGGCTGCCTTGTCCTGCTGCCAAGAGTCATACGGTGTAAGCGTCATTGTAGGAGTAGCTCCTCATTCCCAAAATATCTCTATGAACCCCATGATGCTATTGAGTGGACGTACCTGGAAAGGAGCAATTTTTGGTGGTATGTACTTAGGCTTGATGGCTGAATTCTTATTTTCAGGAGTTCTTCCCTTTTACAAGTGACAAAGCCAGTTTTTAAAAAGCAACGGGGTGGGGGGGCGCCTGGGTGGCTTAGTCGGTTAAGCGTCCGACTTACGCTTAGGTCATGATCTCGTGGTTCGTGGGTTCGAGCCCCGCGTCGGGCTCTGTGCTGACTGCCAGCTCAGAGCCTGGAGCCTGTTTCAGTCTGTGACTCCCTCTCTCTCTCTCTGACCCTCCCCTGCTCACGCTGTCTCCCTCTCTCTCCTAGAAATAAATAAAACATTAAAAAATTTTTTTTAAATAATAAAAAAAATAAAAAGCAACAGGGTTAGGGGCACCTGGGTGGCTCAGTCGGTTAAGGATCCGACTTCAGCTCAGGTCATGATCTCGAGGTTTGTGAGTTTGAGCCCCACATCGGGCCTATGCTGACAGCTCAGAGGCTGAGCCTGCTTTGGATTCTCTCTCTCTCTCTCTCTCTCTCTCTCTCTGTGTGTGTGTGTGTGTGTATGTGTGTCCCTCCTCTGCTCACACTCTGTCTCTCTGTCTCTCTCTCGAAAATAAATATTAAAAAGATGTTTTTAAAAGGCAACATGGCTAAATGAACTAGATATAGACATAAGGATGCACACAGAAGTTTCCAAGGCACACCTTTTATCCATTTTTTTAATGTTTTATTTATTTCTGAGAGAGAGAGACAGAGACAGACAGACAAAGTGAGCATGGGAGGGTCAGAGAGAGAGGGAGATACAGAATCTGAAACAGGCTCCAGGCTCTGAGCTAGTTGTCAGCACAGAGACGGATGCAGGGCTCGAACCCACGAACCGCGAGATCATGACCTGAGCTGAAGCTGGGCGCTTAACCGACTGAGCTACCCAGGTGCCCCCAAGACACACTTTTTAGTATCCCCATAAACTAACTAGAATCTCTCAGTACTACTTCTTTTATACTCATGACTGCACAAGGCACTGAATACTCATAGGACCCAGGAAATCCATCATTCATGTGTGCTCTCATTGCCTAAATTTAGGTAGTCGCTAAATTTGCTCCTTGAATAAGGGAATAACCACCCATAGTATAATTTCTCTATGAGAGAGTTAATAATTAAGGACCCTAGTTTATCTAGATGGATTTTTAAAAAGTTTAACCATGGCAAAAGGATACTGAAACACTATCTCTTATTAACCTCAATAATTGTAGTCTGTGGGATGTAGCACTTTCTACACACTTTCATTTCAATTCTACTCGGAAAGCCCCCTCTCCAATTCTCCTCTTACTCATGGCTGAATCTTACAATGATGTTATTTTCTTTTCAGGCTTTAAGAGTAAAGATTCTGTCCCTAAACTTGTGGCTGATTTTATGGCTAAGAAGTTTTCACTTGATCCATTAATAACCCATGTTTTACCTTTTGAACAAATAAATGAAGGATTTGACCTGCTTCGCTCTGGAAAGAGGTAGATATTAAATTTCTTTTTTATTGTAGGGGTTGGCCAATAGAGAAAAAAGGTGAAAGAATGAAAGAAAAAAAAAAGCGTTGGAGTACCTTGGTTATCCATTAGTAGTTCAGTCTTAGGATGTAGAACATTTTACATTATATTGTGACAAACTAAAACAGTTGCTCTGCACTTCCTGTTCTGCTGAAACCAAACTATTTTGTTTATAGTGAATCTAAATGATCAAAGTCACCCCAGCTTTATTTATAAAAGAACAGTCACCCTTGCAAGGAAAAACATTCAGAGTCACAGAGTCTTAATTATAACATGGAGTCACTGCCTGGCCACCTATAAAGGGTTACCATTAATGGCTATAAATTTAAATTATATTAAAGATCTACTCATTACGGAAAGAGTTGGAGTTATCTTGGGATTTTTTTTCTATACAGCTATCACTAATTTTTTTCACTAGATTTTTAAAAATTTTTTCTTTTTTCAGTTTACAAAGAAGTTTTCACAAATAAAAATTATAGGCATACCTTAGAGATATTGCCGGTTCAGTTCCAGGCCACAGCAATAAAGTGAATATTGCAATGAAGCAAGTCAAACAAAGTTTTTGCTTTCCCCATGCATATAAAAAGTAACTTTTACATTATACTGTAATCTAGTTAAGTGTACGATAGCATTATGTCTAAAAAATAATGTACAGACCTTAATTTAAAAAAAGTATTATGGGGGCGCCTGGGTGGCTTAGTCGGTTAAGCGTCCGACTTTCGCTTGGGTCATGATCTCGCGGTTCGTGGGTTCGAGCCCCGCGTCCGGCTCTGTGCTTACTGCCAGCTCTGAGCCTGGAGCCTTTTTCAGAGTCTGTGACTCCCTCTCTCTCTGACCCTCCCCTGCTCGCGCTGTCTCTCTCTCTCTCTCTCCTAGAAATAAATAAAAATATTAAAAAAAAAAAAAGTATTATGTTTCTGGAGTACCTGGATGGCTCAGTTGATTTAGCATCCAGCTCTTGATTTCAGCTCAGGTCATGATCTCATGGCTCATGGGATCAAGCATCAGGGATTCTTTCTCTCCCTCTCTCTCTCTGCCCCTCCCCCTCATGCTCTCTTTCTCCCTCTCTCTCTCTAAATAAATACACATAAAAAATATTGCATTGCTATAAAATGCAAACCATCATCTGAGCTTTCAGCGAGTTGTAATCTTTTTGCTGGTGGAAAGTCTTGCCTCAGTGTTGCTGGTTGTTGACTAATCAGGGCGAGGGGTGCAGAAGTTTGGGTGACTATGGCAATTTATTAAAATAAGACAGCAATAACTGGGTGTTGTATGTAAGCAATGAACCATAGGAATCTACCCCCAAAACCAAGAGCGCACTGTACATGCTCTATGTTAGCCAATTTGACAATAAATTATATTATAAATAAATAAGACAGCAATAGTCTGTCATATCCATTGATTCTTCCTTTCACTAGAACACTTAGAGATCATTGTAGTGCTGTTAATTGGCATAATTTCAATATCATTGTGTCTCAGAAAATAGGGAGGCCCAGGAAAGAGAAAGAGACGGGGAATGCCAGTCACAGTCGGAATGCACACCATATTTATGGATCAAGCTCACCATCTTATATGGGCACATTGGTGGTAGCCCCAAAACAATGATGTAATAACAGGAAAGATCACCGATCACAGATTACCATAACAAATATAACAACAATGAAAAAGTTTGAAATATCGTAAGAATTACCAAAATATGACACAGAGACATGAAGTGAACAAATGCTGTTGGAAAAATAGTACTCGTAGATTTACTCAACACAAGGTTGCCACAGACCTTCAATGTGTAAAAAAATGGGGTATCTGGAAGGAGCAATAGTGTGCGGTGTGCCTGTATTGAAAAGAGGACTGCTCTTTTAAATGCTGAAGTCTTACATTTCCTTCAAAGCTGAATGCTCCTCGGACTCTCACATGGAAGAAAGTAGATTATCCAAACATTAAAACAATTAACATATTTTATTTCCTGTTTCAGCATCCGCACCATCCTGACATTTTGAGGCCATACAAATGCCCTCATTTGAAGCAGGTCTTTTGGCTCCTGCACCTTCTGGAACCATCAGCCAAACAGCATCATTATCTCTGTTCTTCAGGAATGCGATCAATCAATTATACATGAGAGCTTTCCAAAAGAAGCAAAAATGAAATGAAATCCTTTTCTTTAAAATCTCTTTTCAAGCAAATGTTTAAAATCCCAGAGAAAGCTGGATACACCATCAGCTGCATAGTTGAGTCCAGTAAACTTTCCTTCTTATTCATTCTACTCCTGTTGAATTGTGGCATCTTTCCCATTGAGGAAAAGTAGGTATTTCTTGCACTTCTTGTATCTTTGCTGCCCTAAGTCACTGAAACCCAGGGGAGCGGGTCCTCATTACACTTGTCCCCCAACACACACATGATGAACTTCCACCCTTGAACTGTTCTATTTCCACCTCTATTTCCACTGTCTGTATTTTCCTTTTTATGAAATGTACCCAAGCCCTAGGGGAAATGCTATCATCTGATAAGGATACACTTAGATTTACAAGTAGAGAAGATCTAGAATTTCTATATGCAGGGAATCTCTTTTCTCTTTTTTCATAGAATCTTATATTAGTTTCAGATGGACAACATAATGATTCAACATTTATTTACATTAGGAAGTAATCACTATGATAAATCTAGCTACGTTCTGTTACCACATGAAATTGTTACCATATTATTAACTATGTTCTAAATTCAAGAAACTTTTTAGGGAAATGTCATATGTTTTTATATGACAGACAGAAGTATATGTATTTCTTCTTGTACTGTTTATAGTGAATGTACAATTGTTTTTTTTAAACAGAAGCAATTTCATGCTACATGTGATAAATATGAGATTCAGAAATTAAATGTGAAAACTGAACTATTCCTAGAACCATATTCAAAAATCTGTATTTTTTACTCATGAAAGTGCTTTACTGGCTAAATACTTACTTAATTATTATAATTAACTGAAGATGAGTCATCAGGTAATTTAAAAGTAATATGGCAGCTTGAAGTGTAGGGATAGGAATGAAACAGCTATGGACACAACATATAACTAAGCAATGGCACAAACATCCAAAGAAGCATGTTTTCTAAGTAAATATATGTGCATATACATATGTGTATCTTTACAGAAATTATTTTTAATCTAGAACCTTTCTATTAAGTACCATGTTTTAAATCTACAATCCTGGAGTTTAATTTTTTGAATATGTAAAAACCTATGGTACTCATTTGTTCATGCTTTCCCACACTCAAGGGAAGATTTGCATTTTAAGCTTTATCTCTAAATGTACATAAAAAGCTAAAAACCTTATTCCTTTAAGGGGTGTTGTCTCTCTCCAAAAATGTTATTTGGTTCCATGCCTACGATTTGTTTGATATTGTGAAAAGGACTTTAGACTTAGTGCAAGTGATCTACCACTTAATTGTGACCGTAATTGGAAGTTACTCAACCTCTCTGAGCCCATTTTATCCTTTTTTTAAAAATGAATTACTCTAAACACAAGGACCATAAAACCTTTTTTTCTAAGTATGAAAGATTAATTTAATGCTTTTGGCACACTTTGTACTGTGGAGGATATATGTATCAGCATTAAAAGGTCACACAGATATAAAGAACTCTAGATTATGACAATATTAAAGGTTTATCCCAATTCTGCAGAACAGCTTTTTAAAAGATACTATGGAGCCTCAAAGCCACATGCCTCAGACAGAAATTCTCAACAGGTTGTAACGCCAAAATGTAAAGCCTATGTGTTGATTCACATACTTTAGTCCATTACTATCAAAACCAATGATGGAGCACTGCGCATGCACACACACCCCCACCTCACCCAGTGATTCTGGGTTCCCTGTACACCAGGTCAGAGAAGATACCACCTTCAACACCCCTGTTTGATGGACTGTTCAGTTTCAGACCAACCCCCCATTCATAATAGTAGTGGAAGGAGAAAGGGGGTATCCCTTTTTTACCACGTAGAAATGGGGAGGTGAAAGTAGATTACAAACAAAATGTGAATCAGTGTGATAAAACAATGCCTGTGTCTGCTGGGCTTTTGTTGAACAACAAATCAGCAGCTCTTAACAGTCATCACAATTTACCTAAACACCCCTGAGGTGGACCATCTACTGTGCACTGTCCTCTAATATCTGTGCATTGGTAATGCATTGAGAGATGATATACAGCTGAAAATTTTCCATGAAACAAATTGCCAGCAAACTTTCTAACTTTTTAACTATTGGATAAAAGGATTAAAAATGTTTGTTTAGGTCATGCCCAAATTATGGACTATATTTCTTATCCATAGAAATCATTCTTTACTTTTAAAATTTTAAAAGAAAAAACTGAGGTACCTATAAAGTCCCCATGTAAACGTGTTCTCTTTTCTCCATGCTGCCAGTAAGCCAAATCAAAAGCCACACACACACACAAAAGTGCTCAAGAATATGTGTAGCGAAATAAGTCAGGCAGAGAGGGACAAATACCATATGTTTGCCCGTATAGGAGGATTAGGGGGAACTTAACGGAGGACCTTGGGGGAGAAGAAGGGGGGAAATGGTGGGGGAGAGGGAGGGAGGCAAACCATGAGAGACTCTTGAATGCTGAGAACAAACTGAGGACTGATGGGTGTGGGGGGGAGGGGAGGTGATGGGCATGGAGGAGGGCACTTGTTGGGATGAGCACTGGGTGTTATATGGAAACCAACTTGACAATAAACTATTTGGAAAAAAAATAAAAAATAAAAGTAGAGTTAAAAAAAAGAATGTGTTAGCAGCACTCTCCACAATAGCTAAAACCTGGAAAGAGCCTAAGTGTCCATCAACAGATGAATGGATCAAGAAGATGTGGTTTATCTATACCATGGAATACTACATGGCAATGAGAAACAATGAAATCTGGCCATGTGTAGCAACATGGATGGACCTCGAGGGGGTTACGCTGAGCGAAATAAGTCAGGCAGAGAAGGACAAATATCATATGTTTGCACGTATAGGAGGATTAGGAGGAACTTGACGGAGGAACAAGGGGGAGAAGAAGGGCGGAAATGGTGGGGGAGAGGGAGAGAGGCAAACCATGAGAGACTCTTGAATGCTGACAAAAACTGAGGACTGATGGATGTGGGGGGAGGGGCATGGGCATGGAGGAGGACACTTGTGGGGATGAGCACTGAGTGTTATGTAGAAACTAATTTGACAATAAACTATTTGTAAAAAAAAAAAAAAAAAAAGAATGTGTGTAGATGGGAAAGTGATTTATTTACAAATCAAAGTCTTTCTTTCATGAAGCTACCAAACTTTTTCATATTACACCTAAAACTAATATTATACTGTATGTTAACTGAAATTTAAATAAAAACTTGGTGGGGGGGGGAAGTCACCATTCTTTTCTCTTTTATGGAAGTCAGATCAACGAAAGGGGAAAAAAGTTTTGTTGCATTTTTGATATGGCATGGGCTTTGGTCCACTTTTTTCATGTATCTGTGTAAAAAAAAAAATCTGTTCACTGTTTACTATGAGATTAGTATTACATTTTAGGTAACCAAAAATTTGTATTGCTTGATAAACTATTGTAAGTTTAAAAAGATTTCTTTACCTCAATTAAAGTAACGGATCAATAAACCTATGAAAGATGCATTCATTAAAAAAAAAATACTAGGACGATACAGCTTTATAAAGATTAGACAGGATGATGCTAGCGAAAGGGCTCTGTCAACTGTAGAGTGTCATGTAAATGTAGGGCATAGTTTAATTGTTCCGTCAGAGAGGAGGGAGGTATTTAAGGTTGAGGCAGCCTTCAGAATGTCCCTAAGAAAACACTCTGATATACTGTGGGTCCCATGTTACTCAGCGTGCCAATGTTTTATACCGGTGTTGCTGATAAGAGATCTGGAAAAAGAAGGTATCGCTCTAAATTCACATATCACAAGAGTGAGCATAAAATCCTACTGGTTTCCCAGAGGTCTGCATTCAGCTCCAACCCTCCTTCCTCCCAGGTCATGGGTAGCAAGTAAAGAGTGGGACATAGGTTGGCATGTCAGTAAATTCACAGAGTGGCACAGTCCTCTACGGGGTGTCTGGGGAAGTTGGGGGTAGGTGCCTTCTGCACCCAGCACTGGCTCTCTATTTATACTGACATTGATGGAAAAGGAGGCAAGTTGAAATCAAAGTATAAAACTGGAGTGGCTGGTGTCCTGGTAGGCCTATAATGGTGCACATACTCAGGGTGTCCCGCTGGGCTCCAGCAATAGAAGTTTTGACTCTAGAACCAAAAATTTCCATAGTCGCTGGTCTCCCTTAAGAAAATATAACTATCAATGTACATACTTTTAGTCAGCCATAAAAGGCTTGGTCAAAATGAAGAAAATTTTCAGTTTGCAAAGTAATAACTTTTTGGTTTACCTAATAGGTCTGATAAAATGACACAACTCCTCCTGAAATAGTAAATAAACAAAAAGCAATACAATTGAACTCTTAATTAACCTTTGCCATTTTACAAATCACATAAGCTGGTTTAGGATTGGAAAGAAAGTCATTTGGACAGATTCATTAGAAAGTCACTCAGAAGTTGAAGCAGAGTGAGAGCCGGTCTATATTTGAAAATTGCATTTGTTAGACATTTGACTAGTTAATTCTGTGTTAGTAAATGTTTATTGCACAAAAAACTTCTATTGAGTAGTCTCGGAAAATGTTACTTACTCACAATTTTACTGAAAGACATTAAGTTCTATTTGTCAAATAGTAATATTCAGGAAATGGATCACTGAATAAAAAGAGAAACCAAAATATGTCGGGAAAGGATAAAAGCAGAATGAAAACACTTTACTTGGGGCCAAACACTATTTTGATGAGGTTAACGATAATATATGTGGACTTGGTTTGCTCATTTTATTCACTTGGGACCCAGTGTCCAGAAGACCATCTGCACAACCCTACGGGAATCAAGAGAACCCAGAAGTTACTTAATAATTCACTAAGTTATCTCATGAACAAAGATAATTGGAGAGAAAAAAACATTTGGTTTCCTTGTCTAGACTTATGCTTTCAGGCAGTTGGTATCTCAACAAGTAATGCAGTAGATTTATTAGAAATGAAAGCAAGTATGGGGCGCCTGGGTGGCTCAAATGGTTAAGTGTCCAACTTCAGCTCAGGTCATGATCTCATGGTTCGTGGGTTCCAGCCCCGCGTCGGGCTCTGTGCTGACAGCCAGCTCAGAGCCTGGAGCCTGTTTCAGATTCTGTGTCTCCCTCTCTCTCTGACCCTCCCCTGCTCACACTGTCTCTCTCTGTCTCAGAAATAAATAAAACATTAAAAAACTTTTAAATAAAAAAAGAAATGAAAGCAAGTATGAAAGATCACCAGATAATTATTACCTAAACATGATGCTTAGAGATTACCACTCATCCAGAAACCAATCATTTACAATGTTTTTGAAGATATTCAATTACCTTAAGGGGTTATAACTACAATTTCAAAGCAAAAAAAATTTTACTTCATTCTAAATTTAAATAATAAATG